AGAGACGGTGAAGGAGCAGGCTGAGGGGAGGTGGGCAGCTCTGCCCCCTGCTGTCTGATGGATGGCTTGCGCTCTCGCCCACGGTGGAGGGAGGCGATCGGACGCCAGAACGGGGCAGGCGCCCATGGAGCAGAGGGGAAGCAGGAACAAGTCTAATGAACCCCTCAGGCCTTTCCTGTCCAGCCTCTCAGGTGAAACCAGCTGTGCTCTGGTAGGACACTCCCGCGCTCCTCTAACTCGTGGGGAGTTCCACAGGATAGGAAGAAATCAGTGGAAACACAGAGAGCTTGAGTAGTTGCCAGTGTCTGTTTTATTGCATAGCACAGAACTAACTAGAACCAGCTGCGCTGACCCCCGTGACCTAACTCAGTTACTCTAACAAGATGGAACTATACCGATCTCCGGGGCTTGACAGCCACTCGCCAGCCCTGCACTGCGCATGTGCCAAGCGCCCGTGAATAAAGGTTTAGAGAACATGACCTGTGAAGCCAGGCTTCATGAACTGGGCTTCTTTAGTTTGGAAAAAAGAAGATTAAGGGGGGACATGAGAGCGGTTTTCAAATATCTAAAAGGGTGTCACAAGGAGGAAGGAGAAAATTTGTTCCTCTTGGTTTCTGAGGACAGGACAAGGAGTAATGGGCTTAAAGTGCAGCAGGGGAGGTTTAGATTGGACATTAGGAAAAAATTCCTAACTGTCAGGATGGTCAAATATTGGAATAAATTGCCAAGGGAGGTGGTGGAATCTCTCTCTCTGGAGATATTTAAGAACAGGTTAGATAGACATCTGTCAGGGATGGTGTAGACGGAGCTTGGTCCTGCCTTGAGGGTGGGGGGCTGGACTTGATGACCTCTTGAGGTCCCTTCCAGTCCTAGTATTCTATGATTCTATGAATGGGGCGCTCGGAGCGACCAGCTGAAATCTACTGGCCCCAGGCGAGTGGATTTAGCAGTTTGTTGAGCCCTGCCTATCTCATAGAGCTGGAAGAGACCTCGAGAAGTCATTGAGTCCAATCCCCGGCCCTCATGGCAGGACCAAGCACCATCCCTGACAGATTTGCCCCAGATCTCTAAATGACTCCCCTCAAGGATTGAACGCACAAGGCTCGGTTTTGTAGGCCAGTGCTCAAACCACTGAGCTATCCCTCCCCGCGAGAGCTACAGCTACAGCTACAACCACAAGACGGTGTCCAGGCACATGGGCAAGCCACCTGATCCTGCACGGCTTAGCTCTTTGCAGATGGAAGCCATCCAGATGTGGAATGGCATCTCCCAAGGTCCACTGAGAGTCAATTACTCCTCGATGGGCCATTCAACTTGAATAGGCCCTTCAGAATACGTTGGCCATATGCTTGATACGCTTCTGTGGGGAAAATAACACAGCCGGGCACAGATTATCCGCCAAGTTCTTGCACTGCAGTGGAGATGATTTTTTTTTATTTCAGACGGTGGATAAAGCTACTAGGGGGAGGCTTTACTAGATTTGATTTTAACCAATAGGGAGGAACTGCTTGAGCATTTGGAAGTGGAAGGCAGCTGGGGAGAAAGTGATCATGAAATGACAGGAAGTCGCAGAGGGTCTGGCCACTCAATCATGGATTTAAAAGTAGCCCTTCTTCTGCAAAGGAATTTCACTATCCAATTACAGAAAGAGACTGCAGAATTGGCATTCATTGTGAAATTTGACACTGTTAACCCGGGCTTGAACAAAGATACTAACTGGTTGGCACATTGCAAAGCCAATTTCTCCTGCCTCTAACATGCACATTTGCACACCAAGAATGATGAAAGGTCTAGAGAACATGACCTATGAAGGAAGGCTGAAAGAATTGGGTTTGTTTAGTTTAGAAAAGAGAAGATTGAAGGGGGACATGATAGCTGTTTTCAGGTATCTAAAAGGGTGTCATAAGGAGGAGGGAAAAAACTTGTTCATCTTGGCCTCTGAGCATAGAACAAGAAGCAATGGGCTTAAACTGCAGCAAGGGAGGTTTAGGTTGGACATTAGGAAAAAGTTCCTAACTGTCAGGGTGGTTAAACACTGGAATAAATTGCCCAGGGAGGGTGTGGAATCCCCATCTCTGGAGATATTTAAGAGTAGGTTAGATAAATGTCTATCAGGGATGGTCTAGACAGTATTTGGTCCTGCCATGAGGGCAGGGGACTGGACTCGATGACCTCTCGAGGTCCCTTCCAGTCCTAGTATTCTATGATTGAAAAGCTATGAATGGGACACTTCCAGCCCACTTAATTAGCCTCATTAACATGGGCCCTACAATTGACAGGTACTTCTGCTGTTATATAGATCTTGTTTTCTGTTATTTCCACTCTAATCCATTTGATGAAGTGGGTTTTACCCAAAAGCTCATGATTCTATATATTTTTGTTAGTCTGTAAAGTGCCACAGGACTACCCGTTGTTATGAAATGACGGCGTTTGTGATTTTAAGGAATGGTAGAGGGAAGAACAGCAAACTAAAGACAGTTGATTTCAAGAAGGCAGACACCAGTAAACTCAGGATTCTGGTAGCTAAGATCCCATGGGAAGCAAGATTAAGAGCAAAAACAATTGAAGACAGTTGGCAATTTTTCAAAGGGACATTATTAAGGTTGCAGGATAGGAAGTATGGCAAGAGACCACCCTGGCTTACCCAAGAGATCTTGAATGATCTAAAAATCAAAAAGGAGTCCTAAAAAAAGAGGAAACTAGGTCAAAATACAAAGGATGAATATAAACAAATAACACACATATGTAGGGGCACAATTAGAAAGGCGAAGGCACAAAATGAGCTCAATCTAGCTAGAGACATAAAGGGTAGCAATAAAACATTCTACAGCTATATTAGAATCAAAAGGAAGACCGAGGACGGGGTAGATCCATTGCTTAATATAGAGGGAAAAACAATAACAGAAAATGTGGAAACAGCAGTGGTGTTTAATGACTTCTTTGTGTTGGTTTTCACCAAGAAGGTGAGTGGTGATTGGATGCCTACAATACTGAATGCTAGAGAAAAGGAGGTAGGGACAGAAGTTAAAATAAGGGGGAAAAAAGCAAGTTTAAAACTATTTAGAAGATTTAGATGTCTTCAAGTCACCAGGGCCTGATGAAATGCATCCTAGAATACTCAAGGAGCTGATAGAGGAGATATCTGAGCCTTTAGCTATCATCTTTGAAAAATCATGGAAGTTGGGAGAGATTCCAGAAGACTGGAAAAGAGCAAATATAGTGCTCATCTATAAAAAGGGAATTAAAGACAACCCGGGATACTACAGACCAGTCAGTTTAACTTCTGTGCCAGGGAAGATAATGGAGCAAGCAATTAAGGAATCCATCTGCAAATATCTGGAAGATAATAAGGTGATAGATAACAGCCAGCATGGATTTGCAAAGAACAAATCATGTCAAACCAATCTGATAGCATTCTTTGATAGGATAACAAGCCTTGTGGATAAGGGAGAAGCAGTAAGGCTACGTCTAGACTGGCATGATTTTCCGCAAATGCTTTTAATGGAAAAGTTTTTCTGTTAAAAGCATTTGCGGAAAAGAGCGTCTAGAGTGGCACGGACGCCTTTGCGCAAAAGCACTTTTTGCGGAAAAGCGTCCGTGCTAATCTAGACGTGGTTTTGCGCAAGAAAGCCCTGATCGCCGTTTTCACCATTGGGGCTTTTTTGAATGAAACAGTTTTTAGCTGTCTACACTAGCCATCTTGTGCAAAAGCATTTTCGCAAGAGGGCTTTTTCCTGAGTGGGAGCAGCATAGTATTTGCGGAAGAACACTGACAATCATACATTAGATCGTCAGTGTTCTTGCGCAAATTGAAGCGGCCAGTGTAGACAGCTGGCAAGTTTTTCCGCAAAAGCAACTGCTTTTGCGGAAAAACTTGCTAGTCTAGACACAGCCTAAATGTGATAAAGCTAGACTTTAGTAAAGCATTTGCTAGTCCCACATGGAACTATCAATAAACTAGGGAAATACAACTTAGATGGGGCTACTATAAGATGGGGGCATAATTGACAGGATAACCATTCTCAAAGAGTAGTTATTAATGTTCATAGTCATGATGGAAGGGCATAACAATCAGGGTTCTGCAGGGATTGGTTTGGAGATTGGTTCTGTTCAATATCTTCATCAACAATTGCATATTGGCATAGAGAGTATGCTTATTAAGTTTGCAGATGATACAAAGCTGGGAGGGGTTGCAAGTGCTTTGGAGGACAGGTTCATAATTCAAAACGATCTGGACAAACTGAAGAAATGGTCTGAGATAAATAGGATAATGTTTAATACGGACAAACGCAAAGTGCTCCACTTAGGAAGGAACAATCAGTTTCACACATACAGAATGGGAAGCGACTCTCTAGGGAGGAGTACTGCAGAAAGGGATCTAGGGGTTAGAGTGGACCACAAGCTAAATATGAGTCAACAGTGTGACGCTGTTGCAAAAAAAGCAAACATGTTTCTGGGATGCATTAGCAAGAGTGTTGTGAGCAAGGCAGGAGAAGTCATTCTTCCGCTCTTCGCTGAACTGATTAGCCCTCAGTTGGAGTATTGTGTCTAGTTTTGGGCACCACATTTCAAGAAAGATGTGGAGAAATTGGAGAAGAGCAGCAAAAAATGACGAAAGGTCTAGAAAACATGAGCTATGAGGGAAGACTGAAAGAACTGGGTTTGTTTAGTTTGGAAAAGAGCAGACAGAGAGGGGACATGATAGCAGCTTTCACCTAAAAGATTGTGAAGGGAGAAGGGAGCAAAATCGTTCTCCTTAACTAACTTCTGATCATAGGGCAAGAAGCAATGGGCTTAAATTGCAGCAAGGGAGGTTTAGGTTGGACATTAGGAAAAGTTTCTGGCATGGTAGTTAAACACTGGAATAAGTTAAACACTGGAATCTCCATCTCTGGAGATATTTAAGAGCAGGTTAGACAGACACCTGTCAGGGATGATCTAGGTCAGGGCTACTCAACATGTGACCCGTTTGTTTGCGGCCCAAGGTGCAGGTTGGGTTTACACAGGGCTCAGCACACGGCCTGTGCGTGGGGTCCTTTGAACATGGCCTCCACCGGGAAAATGCTCCACAACGGTGAGGCCTATCCAAGGCAGGGTGAGCATTAAAAGACGTAAGCGGACAGACTGGCTGGAACAGATGGGTACAGGGTGTCGGCGTTTCTAGCTCCCAGGGAATAGGTGCTGGGAGCACCAGAGCAATATGGGAAAGAACCTATTTGCATATATTTGCATATATGTGTGGCCATCAGGATGTGCTGTGAGTATCATTGTGGCCCCTGGGTGCTTCCAAAGTTCAGTTGCCCTGATCTAGACGGTGCTTGGTCCTGCCACGAGGGCAGGGGACTGGACTTGATGACCTCTCGAGGTCCCTTCCAGTCCTAGTGTTCAGTGATTCTGTGAGTCACTGGTGCTCCTCAGAATCAAACCTGTTGAAATACAAGTCCATGCCCATTACTCATAACTTCAAATACAGAAACAATAGCTGCAAATCGTACAACCATACTCAGCAAGCCCTACGCTTGTGAGAGACCCCTCGCCTGGCACACTCTTTACAAGATTTGTGGCAAACATAACAGTGGTTGCACCAATCATCTGCCTATTATAACATCACAGGAGGTTGGTGCTGGTGTCACCCAGGGGAAACTGAGGCAGGGGGCAGGGCAGTGGCTTGGCCAAGGTCTCCCAGGCCTGGGAGGGGAAGCTGCCCTTCCGTCCAGGGGCTCAGGAAGTGAGCAGTGTGCGGGGGCTGGCGTCTTGAGCCATCATGCCGTGTGCTATCTCTGTTCCCAGTGAGCACCTACACCAACGCCTTCGCCTTCACCCAGCTGTGCGGGGTTCTGTGTGCCCCCTGGAACGGGCTCATCTTGGACCGGCACAAACGCGGGAAGACTAAGGAAGGGAGCGCCAAAGGTAATCGCCCCATCTGTCTCCAGCCACTGGGCCCAGCTCTTCCCACAGCAGGGCCCCCCCAGTGCTGTGAGCTTCCCTGCAGCAGTGCCCACTAGTGCTGTGAGCATCCCTGCAGTGGGATCCTGGCGCTGTGAGCTTCCCTGCAGCAGTGTCCCATGCCTCTCCCTGCCCCCACGCGGTGTCTGTCCTGTGTCTCAGGTGCCGTGGACCCTCTGGCGGATCTGCGCTCCTGTGTCCTGTCGCTGGCCGTGACGGCGCTGCAGTGCGTGGCCTTCTCGGTGTGCGCCTCCGTGCCGGTGCTGCCCGTGCAGTACGTCACCTTCATCCTGCAGGTGCTGAGCCGCTCCTTCCTGTACGGGGGCAACGCCGCCTTCCTGGCCATCGCGTGAGTCGCCCAGGGCCCGGGCTGGGGAGGGGAGATGCGAGAGCTGGGGAGGGGGCAGGGGAGCAGAGCTGGGCTGGAGGAGATGGAGGGAGGCCTGGCAGCACTGGGCAGTGGGAAGGGTTTGGCTCTGGCCTGTCTCGGCAGTGGCCTGCCCAGATCTAACGTCCCTGCCCATCCGGGGCGCGTCCCCACAGGTTCCCTCTGGAGCACTTTGGGAAGCTCTACGGGCTGGTGATGGGCCTGTCGGCCGTGGTGTCGCTCCTGCAGTACCCCTGCTTCGCGCTCGTCAAGGGACCGCTCGGCGACGACCCCTTCTATGTGAGTGGTCCGGCCTGGGGAACGTGATCAACCCCCTGCAGTGAGAGACGGGGGGGCCCGCGCCCGGCCTGGGGAACATTATTGACCCCCCGCAGTGAGAGACGGGGGGGCGGGCCGTGCCCGGCCTGGGGAACGTTATCGACACCTCACTCCTGTGTTGTTCAAAATCTGATCCTCCAACACAGGTGAACATCGGCCTCAACATCGTCATCCTGTTGGCCTTTGTCAGCCCGCTGGTGGTGCTGCGGGAGTGCCGGCGCCGGGCGAAGGAGCAGGACGAGCCACGCGCCGACCCATCCCCTACGGCCCTGCACAAGGCTGGGGTGGAATCCTCCATCTGACCCCCCCTCCCATGGATCTGGGGGGGCTGTTCCCCACACCAAAAGGGAACTAGGAAAGGGAATTAGGGCGGATCCCGGCCCCTCCCCAGCTGGGGCCCTCCACCCAGGATTGGCATTGCCAGCTCCAGCCAAACGCTGGCTGCGGTGCGGGGTCACGTTGGGCCCTTTGGTCCAGAGACTTGATTTTCTCGGTGTTTGTAGAGCCGGGTGGGTATAAATCCCTCCGTGCTCCGAGGTGCCTGGGGGCAGCGCTGGGGGGTATTTCAGGCCCCTCTCTTGGCAGGCTGCCTTCTAGCGCCCCCGGTTTCTTCTTTTTTATGACCGTGATTTTGTAGCTTTGTTGTAGCAGCGAAGGAGCCGGATGCTCCGGCGCCTTTATCCTGGAAATCGCATAAATGCTAACGCGGCGCTAACCCAGCTCTGCACGGCGCCCGTGGGACAGGTCGCCCCCAGCCCGTGCTGCCCCAGTACTGGGGAACCCACCGACCCCATGAGGAGGATCCAACAGGAAGCAAGGCTCCTACTAAAATCTTGCCCCCTGTTCTGGGTGGGGATCTGGTGGGCTCTGGTGCCCACCCCTGCTTGACTGCAGAGCCTCTGCGCTGAGGCATCTCCTCCCACGACAAGCCCCCTCAAAGCCGCTCTCCGGGGAGCAAAATATCTGATGCTTCCTGATAGCAGCCTACAGCATGGGCTGCAGCCCCCTGCTCCCTTCTGGGCCCGGCCTCTCTGAGCCCTTTGCTTGCTGGGCACGTCCCAGGAGGACCCCAGAACTGGACACGGTCCCCGAGCAGCACTAACTCCCCCTTCTGCCCCAGGTGGGGTAACCCCCAGCCCCCTCCCACCCAGCCCAGCCCCAGCAGGAAGGAGCGAGGCCAGGGGTGCTGAAAGAAAAGCTGTTTTATTGCAGGGAGTCACAGGCCATGACCAAGAGTGGGGGCCAGAGGCTGCCTCCCCCTGGGGAGCTGTGGGGGGCTGGGAGGGGAGC